ATTACCAGCAATACGTTTTTGGAAAAGAAATTACTAATGCTCCCCCCCCCCAATTAAACTTTGGCATTAAATAACCTATTGACGTGGATATGCAGTAAAACAAAATAAACTGAAACCATTACCCTGTTTCAACAAGTAGACAGATATTTTTCTTTGAAAACCCTTAATATAATCATGTTTCCCTCTGAAGCTCACCACAATGCAACCAGAAGACAATGACCTTTATTTGTCTTGCTTGTCACAAGATTGATGACTGCATTAATGGAATTATCAGACCTTTTAAGTTGAATGAAGTTGCATTTCTTTATTTTTTTTTATCAAAATGTAATTAACAATTTTAATTGTTTCTTTGCATAACAGATTTCAATTTGAAATAATAGATTATTTGAAATATCAAATTCCTCAAATAATCAAATTTAAATATCGATGTCTTTATTCAAATTCAAAATAAATTAATGTTGTCTGTTGAAATTCTCATATGGATTTTTTAATGTTGCCATTTGACAGATTTTAAACTTGTCTTGTTTAGCATGGAATACATCAACATCTACTCAAAAACAAAGAACCACCAGCAATCTTGGACTTTTGTGCCCACAAAAGAAACAAAGTGCCACTATTATTATTTTAACTACCTTCACTCCATGGCAATGTTTATTGTTTTAAAAAGTGATTATTAGAATTTTAACCAAACCTAAGCATATGATGACGGTGAATTTATACATTTGTTCATGAGAATACACAACAAAAATATTAAATGCTATAAGATTGTTTATTTACAAGAATAATTTTTTATTTCCTAATATTAGGGAAAAATGTATAACAAAGTGAAAATAATTGAAGCGTTTCATCCTTTAGAACTTCATAGATGAAGCCATAACGGATGAAACCTGTCACAAGAAAACTTTTTCCATTTAGTCATACATTTTCCCCCAATATTGTTCTTGATATATAAAAATAGATGTTATCTCCTTTCTAACATTCTAAAAACTAATATAATTCTATTAATGCAATGTAATATCATTTACCAGTTTATAAAGAAATAAATTTGAAGACATTTTTTATTTATAAACTTATAAAATATGTGAACCAACTTATAAGGAAATCCTTATTTACTATTTTATAAAGTTCAAACTGATTGGCAATTAGCCAGTGTTTTGCCAACCATTCCAATAAAGAATATAATAGTGTAAATAAACAATCTAATAAATAGGGTTTTATTATTTTGTTATCAGTTCTCAAGAACAAAGAAAATGTATAAATTTATTCATTATATGTTTAGGTTTTATTGCAATACCTAATTACAAATGAAAATGTTACCAAAATTTTTAGACATAGTCAAATTACACCGAAAACATTGGGTCTTGTTCAACCACCAAGGTTACTGGTCAGTATTTTTTTTTTCTTGGTAAATTTGCTTTTTAAGCCCCATGCTAAATATCTATTAAAATTTTCCCAAATTGTCATATTTCCATGTAAATGTACATGCTGAACTCAAAATAACAATTAGATTTTGATAAAACCTACCATTTTGGAGATATCGACACTAAAAGTTCTGGCTCAGTTGCGTTCAAGAGTCGGCCATTACTGGCCTTGTTTAACTACATTCACTGCAGAATATTTTGCACACGGAAGCTTAATTAAGGGCCTTTTTACTGCTCTTAACTGATCATACTTGTCTAAATTACTGTGCACTTAAATTATGTCAGAAAGCGATATAGTATATATTGTATAGTTCATTATCCTTTGGAATGTCTTGTGAAAAAGGACTTGAGAAAAATTTTGACTCTGTGTGAACTGGCTTTATGAATACAAAAATTTAAAATTAACAACCATCAAAGTAAAATGTCCCTCATTTAAACCAATCATAGCATAAAATAAAACTAAAGGAGTTGAAATACTGTGTGTGTGTATATATATATATATATATATATATATATATATATATATATAGAGAGAGAGAGAGAAAGAAAGAGGCATTTCAATAGATATGCTTTTTCACCTCTGACATTTATTGGACTGGTTTGCTCTAGTCTGAAAAATCAAAATATCCTCCATTAAGCAAATCATGGCATTAAATAACCCTAAAGTAGTTGAAATGCCGTTTTCCAAAAAAGCCTTGACTTCTGTGTTCCTTTAGGACATTGGCAATAATAGCTCTCAGTGACACCCTGTGCTTTGTAGCAGTTAATAATTTTTTGTTATTTCTTAAATGTTGTTCTGCAATCTCAATTTACTCAAGATGCTAGGTAGGTTATGCATTGTTTTCTCTTGTCTCTCTTACCTTCAATCTCTCTTGTGAATATCAAATTTTCCAAGCTCTCTCTTAATACTGACCTCTGTAAATTGTTTACATTATTTACATTGTTCAGATTGTTGTCCTCATCTTTATTGCCATGTTCACAACATTTCAGCCATTATACACTCTGGTCTTCTTCAGGTGATATTTGTTGGAATTTTGAACTGAACCCTTTATTTAGTCCACGAGGTTAGATTATTCTAATTCCACCTGTCATTCCTTTGGATATTTCAGTTTTAGAGAATTCCTCTTGATAACTCTCCAATTTTTTTGTTTTCTCTGCTGATTGAACTTGGAACTCTTTGGGTTAAGTTACTTTTGGATAAAACAATGCTTTTATCCACTGGGCCATGTACCCTTGGGAACATTAATGAGTTAATTTTTGAGACTTCTAAACCTAGTGTATCAGTAACCATGTTTTTCCATTGTTGTTTTTATCTCACTCTCTGTATTACTGGTTCCCATATTGTATTCATTTCTATGCTTTGCCAGCTTAGGAGATTCTTGTGGCCTAGCATTTGTGCTGATTCCTTTAAGTTTTCATGTTTTTCAGTGATGTTCTCTGTCTAGTATTTGTCTAGTATTTCAACTTCATCCCACAGAGTGATGACCTCCCTTTTCTCTCCATATATGGTCTGCCATGCCTGGTTTTTCTATTTCCACTCATGTTACAGCCTTACGATATTCCTGCAGTTTTATTTTAAGGGGGCGACCTGTTTCTCTCTTATATTTCTTGTCACAGTTGCACAGGATGGTGTACACACAGTCCTTATTCATGTTCTCTTCTATGAGTGGTCTTACTCAGAAGAGAATTTTATGTAGTGTTGTACCACTTCTGAAGGTTGACCTGATGTTATATGGATCACAGATCTTTTGTATATTTTCTGATAAGATCTTCACATAGGGTAGGCAGACCAAGATTGTTTTCTGAGTGTTGTTTTCATCTTGTACCCTTCTATCCAAGTGTGTGGGAGCTGCTGTCGTGTTCCCAGGGTAGTTGTTACATTGTAGGATACTGCTTATACTGAAAACTTCTAGTCCATATGTCTCCAGGTCGCCACTTATGAATTTTGCTTGATGTTGTAGGTAACAGATGATCCTTTTCTTTCTTTAAACTACATGAGTGGTGGGAGTAGAAGTTGAGGTATTGTCTGGTGAATGTTGGTTTGCAGTATACAGATGTCTTGAACCCATGCTCTTTTCAAAATTTTTACATCCAGGAATGCCAGTTGTTTCCTTTATCCATTGTGAACTGTATCGATGATCTTATTGAGTTCACATGGTCCAGTAGTAGCTGGATATCTTCCTGGTAGGGCCAGTGTGTGAAGGTGTTAACTACATATTTCAGCCATGGTTGGATTTAGTAATGTTGATTCTAATGCCATTTTCTCAAAGTATTCAATGTATATGTTAGCCATTGTTGGTGATCATGGCAAGCCCATCGCCAAGCCTTCATCCTGTTGATACTTCAGAATGGGATCAGATATATATGTTGTTTGTGTACAGAAAGTAAGCATCTCCATCAGGTTATCTATTGGTATACTGGTATGTTCTCCTGGAGATGAATCTGAGGGCAGTCTATCTCTGACTACTGATAGTACCTCCATGCGTTGATTGGCGATAAGTCATGACCCGTGTAAGTTGATTGGCGATGTCATGCTTCCATGTTGTTTTAATTGAAAACCTTTTCTTTGGACACGTTGAGAATAGCTGTTAAAAATAATGTCTTTATTCTTATTAAAAGTTAAATAGTTGCTCTAACAAATACCATAACAACTTCTTGCAATAGGTTTCAGTAATGAGTCAACCATAAAAAAAAAGTCAATTTCATTAATATATAACTGATCGAGAAAAGCATTTTTCTTTGTATGATACTAGAATTTATAAATGAAGTATTTTGTTTACATTCATGTTTGAAATGAAGCTAGGGATTTTTTTGTTTTCTACACATGCATAAACACACCCACACACATATGCTGTGACACAGTTTAAGAACATTTGTTCATTGTGTGGGCTTGGTTAAATTTAGGTAAAAACCTGTTAGTGGTTATTGTGAAATTTCTCTGTTGTTGATCTCATCAAAAATTACAGTTTTTTGTTTTTGTTTTTCTTTACTCGAGTTGCGATGGTAAGTAAGACTGCTTAATTAAGAATGCCTTTAATTTGTTCTTTAGATTGTTTGTTGTTATTTTTAATTATTTTCCTTTTTTTTTTTCTAATAAGATAAAATATTTAAAATGCTTTCAACATAAGCCAGCTGAATGTTAAATGGCTACTCTGTTTATATCATTTTCCCAGCTTTTCATTTGTTTGTAGTTAGAAAGATTCAGAATAATGAGTTTATTTCAAAAGAAAATTTTATAGTGAGTGTTTCACTCCTTAAAAAATAGTTAACTGATAGGTATTCTTAAAAAAATAGATAATACTGTAAACAAGTAAATAATATGGAGTTATTACAAATTTTACTTCCTGTATTCACAAATCATGTCAGAATATTATGACATTTTGTGTATAGGGTTGAGTGACTTGGCTTTTAAAAAAAAAAATTTCTGTATCTATATTTCCATTGAAAAGTTATTTGAATATTTTTTTCCCATTCTGTTCTGTTAAAGGTTTGATGGCGGAAAAATACCAACATGTTTTTAAGAAATAGTTTATTTTAATAAATATTTTATGAACATTAATAATTTTATATAAATTTCAGGATTCAGTTGGCAAAACAAAGGAACAGTTGGATGGACTCATGTCAAAGATCACTGAACAAACATCAAAAATAGAAGATACAAAAGAAGAAATTCAGGTACTGTGTATTCTATAGTCTAAAAATTGAGATGAATCTGTAAAAGTAGTTGTTACACTAGTTCTTCAAATATCCCATTCCTTCATTTATGTACTATATAACTTCAGGATATGGGTGATCATGGCTCACCACAACATCCTATCCTTTGTAGCTGTTAGCAATATTTGCCTTTTTATTATTCCTCCCACTCTTTGTTCTGCTATTCATTTTCACAAGCTAGTTCAGTAGGTTAATCACTACTCTCTCTCTCCTTTAAAATATCCTGTGTCAAATTCTCCAAGCCTTCTTTCCTCATTATGTACCCTAGAAATTTCAACAATTTCTGATTCTAAGTGTCATTTTTCCTTTCATTTTCTTTAAAACTTCCTTGTTGCTTATATCTTCTGTCCATTCTCAGAATCTCTATTGCCTCATCTATCTATCTGTGAGGAAATTGTCCAACATTTACTGTCATATTGGAAGAGAAGAGTGCTGAACTGTGATGTAATATTTATTACGGTTTTCTCCTCATCTGTGGGGAGATTGTTCAGCATTCACTGCCATATAAGATGATGAATATCAATCCAGCACCCTTTTCTTTGTTTCTAACAAAATTTTTCTGTTTCTCAATAGTTTGCATAGTTTTTAGAAAGAATCTTTTGCTCATCCAATGCATCTCTGGATCTCCATTTTAGCATTTTCCATCCTCTGGTAAAATGCTTTCCAGACAGTTGAATTTCTGTAGTTGTTTGCTTTTCATGTTTCCAATTCATATCTTGCATCTTGGCTTCTTCTTCTTCTTTCTTCTTCTTCTTCTTTCTTCTTTCTTCTTCTTTCTTCTTCTTTCTTTTTCTTTCTTCTTTCTTCTTTTTTTTAACCCCAAGCAAGGCAGGGTGCCACTAGCACGCAATGGGTTACAGAGAATAGGTGCAAGAATAAACAGGCATGAAAGAGGAAAGGATGAAGAGAAGGACGGGGAATAGATCAAGGCATCTGGAGATGTCGATAGACATTGCATTTGAATAGTTGGAGATTATATCTTGTTGACAATCATACATTCTGTCTCAAACTCATTACAATTGATAGTCTGTTTTTTTCTTTCTTCCCACTTTACCCTTTGTCTAGGAGTTCTTACAGGATCTCTTTTTGTGTATTGTTTATCAACACAATCATTTACATATCTTACATTGTAAAGATTGTAACCACTAATAATAAATACTGGTAGGATTGCCTTGATCTCTGGTAATGTTAATATTCGCCCTTTTCTTACAAGGAAACAGTTGGGATTCTCTTAAAACAACTTTTCGAGAAAATACATTTCTCAAGTCCAGTAGCTGTTATTACTCATTCCAGTAATGATAGGGGGATTTCCTTCCTAACATTTTGTTTGAAGTTGTTGAATGTCAACATCTTGATTATATCATTTTCTTTTCAAGTTACATGTGCTATCCATTTTAGTTGTTGCTGCTGTTGGAAGTCAAGGGATATGAGTTCTGTTGTTTGGTATAATTCTTTGTTTCATTTGCTTTATGCCATTTTTTTTAATCACTGATCTGAGAAAGCAGTTGTATACAGCTGAAAGTTCAGATATTTCTGAATGAGTTTGTCGCCATAAGTGTGGTGAAAAGATGCATCCTTGTTTTAAGCCACTTTCTATTGCTTTATTACATCCTTTTGATTGATGTCATGATTTAAAAAACATTAAAGATAAAATAATGTGTAGTATCTGTTCTCTTCTCTAAAAATGGTAATATTAACCATTTCCTTATCAGAAAACATTTGGTATTCATTGGCTGAGCAACCAATGCCATTGTCGGTTGAAATTTATCAAATCTTTCTCTTAAAATAGGAAAATAGGTTTCTCAAGTCCAGTAACTGTTATTGCTCTTTTCAGTGTTGATGGTTTCCTTTCTAACCTTTTATTTGATGTATTTAAGGGATTAAAGATTTATTTAACACTTAAGCATTTGTCTTGATTTTATTTCTAAAACGTTTCTATAAACAGTTTGGGACTAATCAAGTTCATAATGAAATAACCAAGTTCAGAATGGGACATAGCAAATTCATAATGAAATAAACAAGTTTGAATTATGACTAAGCAGATTCATTCTGGAAAAATGTTTCAAACTTATCTGCATGTTTCAATAAACAAATATAATAGATTAAAAAATCAACTGGGCAGTAAATCTGATAATTAAAAATCGGAGCGCAGCATTGCGTATATTTTGCTATCTTTTCCTTACAAGAGGCTATTCTTGAACGAATAAATTTGTGTCAAAGTTAGTTGCTGGCATTTTCATTGGTAAGACAATCAGGGAGAAGAAGGAAAAGAGATGGATAGACTGTATATAGTGTTAAAAAAGAGAGAATAAGAGAGAGTTATTCAAAATGAAATGATTTGGGCGGGGGGCAACATGGCAAATCTCAAAAGTTCTAAGGAAATATTGAATGCATATATCAAGACAGTTTGAAAAAAGATAGGTATAGTGAGAAATTTTAAGCGCTTGAAAGTTGCATCCAAAAAACACACCTTTTATGAATTTTCTTGATTTATTGGTTACTCCTAGAAGATAAAATATTTCAATAGTAAAGTTGAACATTATTATTTTATCATGAAAATATTTAATGTCTTTTTTGGCAAAATAATTGCTCAGTCCCAAATTAAATTTGACTAATCCATTTTGAACTTGCTAAGTCCCAAATCAAATTTGCTTATTCCATTTGGAATCTGCTTAGTTCCAATTTAAATTTGACGATTCCATTTTGAATTTGCTACATCCCATTTGGAATTTGCCTATTCCATTTTGAACTTGGCTATTTCAATTTTTTAGGCAATTCTTCCAAATTCACATGTTGTCCCTAAATTTTGAACCTATAGTGTAAGTCTTTGATGATATCTGTTGATTCCAATCTACCCAGGAATGACTGTAAAATACTTACCCCTCTACATTTTATAGGCAGAAGCATGCAAATGCATGCTGGGATTTTTTTTTCCTAGCCAATAAAATAAGCCAGTTTTTGGTTTTATCTGACTCAGTCTCAGTCTGTCTTGTCTTGAAGTCAGAACGTTATGTTTGCTTGTCTAAACTTGTTTTGTGTGTCAATGTCAATTTTTAGTTTGTAAGCATTTTGCCATATTACTGTTGCTTTCCCTTATTACTGTTAATTTGCCATGCATATATTGTTTGCTTTATATTATTCTTTTCTTGTTATTGCTTATTGCAAACTTTGCCAATTCTGTTTGTTGAACAATTCTGTTACATTTAATTTTACATTTGACCATGGCTACTCACTCCATGATATCAATCCTTTTGAATGGAAGTGGAGGAAGGAGAGATTTTCTTTGATTCTTTTGCCATATTGTCAATGTTTTTTTTTTTTTTTTTAATTCTTTATTTGCAGACTTTACATTCAGAAGCCATGAAAAAGATAGAGAATCAGTATTGTCGTTTGTTGGAAGATGTGGCTTCGATTATCCATCAGCAGAAAGATCTTCACTTGAAAAATTTAAATGAGAAGAAAGAAAAGTCTATTAATGCTCTTGAGACTTACCTGAATAATAATCTAACAAAAGCCAAGTCAATGGAAAACATGACGGAAATGTGTAAAAAGTTACTTGATGAGGATCATGTGAAAGGCATTTTGGAGCAAGCCTCAGAGGTCAGCCCAATTGTGGAAAAAGTAGAAAAACTCTGTGATGAGTAAGTATTGACTTATGGTTAATAAAGTCTAGAACAGGTTTGTATAACTAAAAAAAAAAAAAATAAAGTGAAAAGCCATATTGCTCAGTGAAAATTAACTGTGGGCCGTAAAATTAAATTGTTACAGTGAAAATTGATAATGGCAGATGATTGGTTCTTTAGTTTGTTTTTTTTTTTGTATTTTTTTCAAAAATTTTTTATTTTTGCAAGAAAGTTTTAGTTTTACTTCATGAAATTTTCCACACTTCTTTAGTTTTTACTCCTGGTAGGTTATGTCATATTCTTTTAAATATTTTCATTTAATATTTTAAAAAATTTATTATAACTTAATGACTAATGAAATATGAAGTTGGCTTTTTATCAACCTCCCTCTCACACACCCTTTCTTCAAATAGAGGACAAGGGAATGCGTGCTCTCTGTATAACTATCAACCCATTTCGGGTAGTGTAGTGGGTAGCAGTTGGGAATGTTACATTCATTTACATGCCAATAACCTTGGGAAATGCATGAATCCATCTCTTGCCTCCAGCTATGTGCTAAAAAAAGTAGCACTTGTATCTGGAAAATTCATTATATTCTCAAAAAATTGTTAAAGTAATATTTACTCACAAAAATAATTATTCTTAAAATGCAAAATGTGTTTCAGCTTTAAATAACCCGCAAAGGGTTGATAAGCCATAAAACAAAAAAATATGTGGTGTTTCGAAAGGGTTTCATCCCATTGTTAATCGTGGTGAAAGCCTGAATTTGATTTGAAAATACTCTGGATGAAACCATGAGTATTTTTTGGTAGAGGTTCTGATGGTTTGCAAAATATGTTAAATTCTTATCATTTTTCACATTTTTTTCTTTCTCTCAGTCGTATTATTAAACATAAGAACAAAAGAGCAAGGATATTTTTTTATCCTTGTTCTTTCATCCTCTTGTTTCATATTTGTTATATATATGTTGCGATGGATAAATTGTTGTTTGAATTATGCAAAAATGAAAATAACACTGACATCTTATTTGAACAGATATATTTACCAAAATTACACAAAAATATCTTGAAATGCTAAAGAGTAAATTTATTAATAAAATCGCCATTGACTTCAACCACGGCCTCCAAATGACTTCGGAATCTCCTGCAACTTTAAGTTGATGAATGCTGCCATAATCCTTGCCTTCAGTTCATCTTTGGTGTTACAATGAGTTTTGTTGGTCTCTCGCTCAACTGTGCCCCACACATAATAATCAAGGGGGTTGTGGTCTGGGGAGTTAGGTGGTCATATGTAAGGTGTGATGTGGTTGCAGAAATTGCCTGATAGTGATGACTGGGTTCTCCTGCTTGTGTGACATGGTACAGAGTCCTATTGCTAGACATAGGGTCTTCCAGCAGCCACCCTCTTGACCCAGGGTAGCATTACCTCCTCAAGACAATTGATGTAGGCCTCTGTGTTGAGTCTTTGGTCCTGTAGGAACATGAATGGAAGCATAATGTTGCCATCACTAGTGATCACTTCAAACACCATGTTGTTGCTGGATATATCAACTTTTCAAATCCTCTGCACTGTTCTCAGATTAACGCTCAAACCCTCTGAAATGTTTGTATTGGAGCTTCTGGAGTGAATGCCAAGTAGTACAGCATGCTGTTTCGAAATTTCTAGCAGAGTGAATTGTGTCATGGTGCTTTTTCTCATACATGTTGCCCAACTGACCATACTGTCAGCAAAATCAAAAACAAACAATGCAAAATACAAAATGTAAAATATAAAATGACAACAATTTACCCATTGTACCCTGTACTTTCAAAATGTCTCTTTTTAGATCTGTAGTATTATAATTATTGTTTGTTATTGAGAAAGATTTGAAAATACTTTCTAGCTGGGATTGCATAACATTAAGTATTTTTATTTTAGAAAAGAAGTTTATGAAATTCTAAAGTAAATTAGCCATTACTTTTAATTATTTATGCATTTTTTTTTTTTTTTATTTTTTTTTTATTTTTGTGGTAACAAGATTTTCCAGAAAAATGGAAAAGTAAGATTCTTTGCTATAATTTATAAATAAAAATAAATGAAGATCATTAGAAGCACTTAATTTGTGTCTACTTTTGAGTTGCATTAATCTGTTAAAAAAAAAAAAATTCCTCTTTCTGTTAGAAATTGTCAGTGAAGAAATATTTTACTATATTCTTTAAAACGTTTTTAAGACTGTCTTTATATTGCATGTGCGCACACACACACACACATATATATATATATATATATATATATATATATATATATATATATATATAGGTACAATTTTAGGAAAATCTATGACTAGAGTGGAAAAAACATCACTCTAGTCCAATGAAGTCCTAAAGGACAAAACATGTCAGATGAAAAAATTTTCACTTTATTATATACAGGGTGAATTAGAAATAAATCTCATAATGCAATATTCACTCACAAAAATAATTAACTTTACAATCCAAAATATGTTTTATCTTTAAATAATCCGTAAAGGATTGATTGATAAGCCATAAAAAGCAAAACAAAAAAATATGTGGCAGATTCAAAAGGGTTTCTACACATTGCTACAGTGTTGAAAGCCTGAATTTGATATGAATCTAGTCTGGATGAAACCACTGAATAAGATTTTCATTATAAGTGAGATAGGAATACCACATTACCTATATGAAAAAATCATTGCCACTAATGTCTTACCATTATGTGGAAGGTACGCATACTTTGAGTGGCTCTTAGGCCTTGTATTGGGTGAACAATTGTATATATAAAAAAATAAAAATGAAAAATACTTAGAAGAAAAAAGATAGTTGGAGGATACAACATCTGAAATGAGACTATAACAGCAAAATGAGGATATTTGTCTCAATATATCAGTGTATCATTTCTCACATTGGAGTCTTGTTGGTTTTGTTATATTCACTTACACACAAATACCTTTGGAGAAAAGTATGAATCCACCTTTTCTTTATCCAGCTATGGGTTAATTAGTAAGATTTGTCTCACTAAATCATTATCTCAAAACAAAAAATTCTTACACTCTAAAAATATTTTCTGGCTTTAAATAACCTGAAAAGTGTTAAGCTGTAAAATAAAACAAATCAATCAACATTTATCACATTAACACTAGATTTTATCTTGTTTATTTTTTTAATTTTATAATTTTCAGTTTTACCATTTAAATTGTTTTTTTTTTTTTTACTTCCAGAATGAAACAAAATGAAAGTGAGTATTTGGAGCTTGTTGCAGATAATTCGATTCAACAAAGTTTGCGTTCATCTGTTGCTCAATTTCGTAACAATATCACAGACAATTTACAACTTCTTCTGGGTGAGTGAACACATTTTGCTGACAACAATCAGTAGTAGTTAATATTTTTTATATTCCTTAAACAATCCTATGAAAATGAATTCTTTTACATGTTTTGTTCTTTGTTTGTTTTCTTTTCTTTGTTTTTTTTTCTTTTCTTTGTTTCTTTTCTTTCTTTTTTTGTTTCTTTTCTTTCTTTTTTTGTTTCTTTTCTTTCTTTTTTTTTTGTTTCTTTTTTTTTTTTGTTTCTTTTTTGTTTCTGTTTCTTTTTTGTTTCTGTTTCTGTTTCTTTTTTGTTTCTGTTTGTTTTTGTTTCTGTTTCTTTTTTTTTGTTTCTGTTTTTTTTTTGTTTCTTTTTCTTTTTTTTTTCTTTTTTTTTTTTGTTTTTTTTTTTTTTTTTTTTTTTTTTTCTTTTTGTTTTTTTTTTTTTTTTTTTTTCTTTTTATCTTTTTTGTTTCTTTTTCTTTTTTTTTTTTTTTTTTTTTTTTTTTTTTTTTTTTTTTTTTTTTTTTTTTTTTTGTTTTTTTTTTTTTTTCTTTTTTTTTTTTTTTGTTTCTTTTTTTTTTTTGTTTTTTTTGTTTTTTTTTTCTTTTTTTTTTTTGTTTCTTTCTTTCTCTTTTCTCTTTTCTTTCTTTCTTTCTTTCTTTCTCTTTCTTTCTCTCTTTCTTTCTCTCTTTCTTTCTCTCTTTCTTTCTCTCTTTCTTCTTCCAGTTGCACTTCAGGGAATATTTTCAAAGTTAATGTCAACAGGATTTCTGTCTGAATTTCTGGTATGGTTCTGTGGAAGGAGAACAGTTAATCTCTGATTGAATAATGTGTTCACTTGGAAATTGTAATAAGGCTACATGGAGGGAATAATGATCGAATAGGTGATCACTTTGATCCAGGCCTTACCCTATCCCATTTTGTGGTTTGCCTTGATCATAAGGCAGACCAAGATCAAATCACCATTAGGTATCTTCATATTGAGCTGGTCCAAGCGGAGTGAAAATGCAAAGAAGAAAATTCGTACAACAGTTGGTTAATGATTGTTAAAGTCTAGGAGTTCACATGCAGACAATTTCTGATTTGGTGAAGTTTGGCACAAGGCTGATGTTGGAGGTTCTCGTCAGCAGAGAATCACATGATGTGTCTTGCATCCAGTGGTTGGAATTATCTCTGCTTTCTTTGAGGCATTCATATTTATTGACGTTTTCCCAAACCGGTGTGAGGGGCGGTGGCTGGGCACTCAGTATCTTCTCTACCTGTCAGCTTCATTGTCTGGGTTTTGAGAATTCTAATCTGCCCCATAACTTTCGCCTTCTCTCTCTTATCATCTCCCACTAATACTTCTCAGTGTGCATGGGTAACTCCTCCACCTTCCTTGGTATCTAATCTGTGCCCACCAACTCAGCCCCCTCCGACCAATGATCGTTAACGGCCTCGAGGCAAAGATGCAAGAAAAGATTAATTCCAAGTTTGTTATCTAAGCAGAAAACTTTTTTCCATGTCAACCTCATGTTTTTCATTGTCCAAAATTGAAATACATTCTCTGAGAAAAACAGCCTGTATTTTTAGCTGTATGTCATCAACCAAGTATCAAAATATTTGCCATATGAACTGTTGTAGTTGAATGTTGTTTTCTTTGCTTGCCATCTAGTTCTCAAACTTTTTGAGAAATAAAATCTTCAATCTTTCTGGGAGTTTATTGGTATATTATTCAGTCTATTTGTTAACCCTTCTTATTATTTATCAGGAATCTATTGGTATATTCATCATTCTATTCATTCAGCCTCCTCATTATTTACCAGTAACAAATAGTGTCACATTAAAACATTTTTATTTGTTGACTTCTGATCTTAGTTCTATAAAACAATGTATCTTAGAAAAACATATAGATAATATTAGACAGGTATTAGTTGATAACACAACAATACTCATACATACACACAGTAAAAAGAACCTTCAGATATTAGAGGCCATCTACATTAAAACAAAGCAACCCACACTCAACAAAATTACATTTCAAACTAGTCACAACACATTACATTGCATCTAAACGTATGGTTCTGTTGTTAATATTTCAGTCTTTCAAGTGGTATGACATCATAGAACTGCATTACCAATTTATGACCTGCATTTGCTATTGTGTGACAGTTATCATCACATAGCAATTTTCTAAGTCAACATAACAGGATATCATCTTTGATGGTGAATATTTTTGTTTAAATGTCCATATAACCACTCTGAAGATGTCTTATGTGAGCTGAAAGCTTAGATTAAGGAAAAGCATAATAAAAGATTATCCAAATGTTGAAGAGTTTTTGTCTTTATTTTCACCCGAAATTAAAACAGCTATACAAAGTTTAGAACAACTCATGATCAAACATATGACATTCATTTTCTGTTATATTTAATAATATATGTTTGAATAATGATCTGCTACCTCAATACATATATATATATATATATATATATATATATATATATATATATATTATTTTTATTATTTAAAAATATGATTCCAACTTTCAACATAAGAGGTCTATGTTTCAAAACAAGCATCGAAAACTTCAATATAATTATTTGAATTAAATTGAATTAAAGTAAGCTCTGTTCCATCTTCAAAAGTTGTAAATCTTTTTGGAATAAGAGTATTTCTAAATTTACATGTTTTAATAATTGAAATCAAAATTTCCATGGTAACAGCTAGGGCGAATTGTTTAAATTGGGTAGGCGTGTGTTGAGTGTTAATAAGTATCAGTATAGAGTTACTTTCATAGATGTCAAGTCAGGGTAAGGTGGGGGTGTCTAAATTTGAAATAGAAGATGTTTTAGCCTCGTCTGGTTTACGTGTCTATGGAGATTTATTTATTTTTTTATTTTATTAATTTATGAAAGGGATTTGTGCATATAAAAAAAAACAAAAAAAAACTGCCGTAACATTTGTTTTTGACGACTTCATAAATATATATATATCCTGTGTGTTTAAGCAGCAAATGTTATTCAAATTCTGAATAATTCTTCTCAGAGAAGGAGAAAATTCCATGAGAAATTATCTGAAGTTCATTTCAGTGGAATATATGTGTGAGAGTATATGCATATATATTTGTGGATATAAGTAAATCACATAAGGAAGTTTGACAAGTTGCTGAAACATTTGTTTTGAAATATACATTACAAACTTTCTTTTATGGAAACATCTTGTAGTGAATTCATTTCAACTATAAATTTAGTAAACTATGTAAGGAATGATAGGCTTTTAATAATTTCAAACCCACACTTATTATTTGGAACTTGTGAGTACATATGGTACTGGTAATATTAGCCATTTTCTTATAAGGAAACATTTGGCATTCATTGACCAACCAGCCACTGTTGCTTTTGGTTGAAATTTATAAAATATTTCTCTTAAGACAACTTTTGGCAAAAATAGGTTTCTCACGTCCAGTAGCTGCAGTAAATCTTTCCTGTATGGATGGGGGCTTCCTTCCTAACCTTTTATTTGAAGTGACATGGAATGTTAACATTTTAATTATGTCATTATTTTTTCTTTGAGTTACATGTGCTATCCATTTTAGTTGTTGCTGCTGTTGAAAGTCCTCATGTGATGTGGTTTCTGTTCTCTTGTACAGTTCTTGTACAAGGTTTGAAGAAGGATGATCTTCACTAAGATCCATAAGCTTCACTTGCTCAAAGCCATTTTTAACCATAGACCTTAGAAAGCTGTTGTATACAGCTGAGAGTTTAGATATTTTTGAACATGTTTGGTGTCATGCATGATATCCATGGAAAATTCTCGATCTGATGAGGCTATTTCAGAATATGATGAGTTCTCAGGTTAATGTTATGGTTTTGTAGTAATTTGCAGTGTTGATCAAAAAGTGTATCCTATTTTATGTACAATTTCCTTTTCTCCTGTGCAATATTTGTTATAAATGATCCATACACTGAAGTATTTAAAGTGTTAAACTTTGGATAATAATATTTCATTATGATTTGGTAATCTTAAAATTCTGTCTTACAATTGATGTCTCATTCTTTAAGACAGAATGCATGATTGTCGGCAAAAGGAACAGACGAACATGGGAATTACAAATTAGAGACCAAAATCAAGCAAGTACAAAAATTTAAATATCTAGAAAGTGTTTTAACAGAGCATAGAAAATGCAACACCAAAATCTGCAGTCATATTAGGATAGCAAAAGATGCCTTTCTAAAGCTAAGAAAAATATTAAACTCTTTTTTTCTCTCTCTCTGTTTTTTTTTTCTCTCTCTCTCTCTCTCTGTTTTTTTTCTCTCTCTGTTTTTTTTCTCTCTCTGTTTTTTTTCTCTCTCTGTTTTTTTTCTCTCTCTGTTTTTTTTCTCTCTCTGTTTTTTTTTTCTCTCTCTCTGTTTTTTTTCTCTCTCTCTCTGTTTTTTCTCTCTCTCTCTGTTTTTTCTCTCTCTCTCTGTTTTTTTCTCTCTCTCTCTGTTTTTTTTCTCTCTCTCTGTTTTTTTTCTCTCTCTCTCTGTTTTTTTCTCTCTCTCTGTTTTTCTCTCTCTCTCTTTTTTTTCTCTCTCTCTTTTTTTTTTTTCTCTCTCTCTGTTTTTTTTCTCTCTCTCTCTGTTTTTTTCACTCTCTCTGTTTTCTTTTCACTCTCTCTGTTTTCTTTTCACTCTCCCTGTCTTTTCGTCTCTCCCTGTCTTTTCGTCTCTCCCTGTCTTTTTCGTCTCTCCCTGTCTTTTTCTCTCTCCCTGTCTTTTCGTCTCTCCCTGTCTTTTCGTCTCTCCCTGTCTTTTCGTCTCTCCCTGTCTTTTCGTCTCTCCCTGTCTTTTCGTCTCTCCCTGTCTTTTCGTCTCTCCCTGTCTTTTCGTCTCTCCCTGTCTTTTCGTCTCTCCCTGTCTCTCTCTCTCTCTCTTTGTCTCTCTCTCTCTCTCTCTTTGTCTCTCTCTCTCTCTCTCTTGTCTCTCTCTCTTGTCTCTCTCTCTCTCTTTGTCTCTCTCTCTCTCTCTCTTTGTCTCTCTCTCTCTCTCTCTTTGTCTCTCTCTCTCTCTCTCTTTGTCTCTCTCTCTCTCTCTTTCTCTCTCTCTCTCTTTGTCTCTCTCTCTCTCTCTCTTTCTCTCTCTCTCTTTGTCTCTCTCTCTCTCTCTCTTTGTCTCTCTCTCTCTCATCCACATTCTCTCACTCACACACACGCTGTATGTGCATGTATAATTTATCTACTTAGTTTTAGATAAATACAATCTTAATAGTCACAAACTTCATGGTTTTATGACATCTGTTATTATCTAGTCAGGTGCTTTGTTCCGTACTCACTTGACCTCCTCTTTGGAGGATTTCCATTTTGCCATCTACCACCCCCGCCATTGGGGATGGGTGGTGAGTGTGATGGCAGGATTTCTTATTCTGCTGCTTACTAACCTGACTTATTTGGAATTTTAGGTCATCTTTAATCAGTTTAGCAAACTTGAGATGGCTTTACCTTTACATCAGATTCAGGCCTGAATCAACACTTTAGTTGTGTGGTGTACATGTACACATTTTCAGTAAACATTTAATAGCTCCTGGTACATTTTGTCTAGCAAACAATATTTGTGCAGACTCGTATGAGTCCAGGTAAAAATAAGAGGTATTTAAACAAATAATTACTGATTGTATTAACAAAAAGAAATTACATTCCTGTGTACACAATTGAAAGGAAAGGAAAAGATTAAAACTTAGCTATTAAGAATGTGCTTGTTTGTTTGTGTGATATATATCTGTATGTGAGAATTCATTTGACCACGTACCCCAGTAGGGACCTTTTCATCTATAAGGTGCTACATCTTGGAACAAAAGGGAAAAAGAGGAAGAAAACTGCCACCTAATGAGCATGTTATGAAGCCAAGTAAGGTAACCCACAAGCCATGATTCTGACCTTTTAATCTATTGCATAGCAGATCTAAACAATTAGTCCCTCATTGGTGATGCTGCTTAGCATTTACTGTTGTTAGTTTCTTTTTTTTTCTTTTGTCTTTTCAGGATGTAGATAATCATGGTTCATCATGAAAAAATAAAAACAACAAAAAATACTTTTATATGTTTATCCCCATCTCTGCCTGTCTCTTTTTTTATCCCCCCCCGTTTCTGCCTGTCTCTTTTTTTATCCCCCTGTTTCTGCCTGTCTTTTTTTATCCCCCGTCTCTGCCTGTCTCTTTTTTTATCCCCCTGTCTCTGCCTGTCTCTTTTTTATCCCCCCTGTCTCTGCCTGTCTCTTTTTTATCCCCCTGTCTCTGCCTGTCTCTTTTTTTATCCCCCTGTCTCTGCCTGTCTCTTTTTTATCCCCCGTCTCTGCCTGTCTTTTTTTATCCCCCCGTCTCTGCCTGTCTCTTTTTTATCACCCCTGTCTCTGCCTGTCTCTTTCTTTTTTATGCCCTGTCTTTTTTTTTTATGTCCTGTCTCTTTTTTTTTTGTCCTGTCTTTTTTTTATGTCCTGTCTCTTTTTTTTTTGTCCTGTTCTTTTTTTTTATGTCCTGTCTCTTTTTTTTATGCCCTGTCTCTTTTTTTTTTTTTATGCCCTGTCTCTGCCTGTCTCTTTTTTTTTTATGCCCTGTCTCTGCCTGTCTTTTTTTTTTTTTATGCCCCGTCTCTGCCTGTCTTTTTTTTTTTTTTTTTTATGCCCCGTCTCTGCCTGTCCCTTTTTTTTTTTTATGTCCTGTCTCTGCCTGTCTCTTTTTTTTTTTTATGCCCCGTCTCTGCCTGTCTCTTTTTTTTTTTTTTTTTTTTTTTTTTTTTTTTTTTTTTTTTATGCCCCGTCTCTCCCTGTCTCTATTTTTTTTTTTTTTTTTTTTTTATCCCCATCTCTGCCTGTGTTTATTTTATCCCCGTCTCTCTCTCTCCCGGTGTAAGGTTTTTGTGTGAGTGTGTGTGAGTGTGTGCAGCATGCAGCCATGGACTGGTTTCTGTGGGCGTGTGTCGTGATCATTTGTTCTTCTCATCATTTTTTTTTTTTACTATACACCTGCTCTTATCTTCTGTTTTTCTTTTTTTTTTTTTTCGATAGTTGCTGTTTTTATTATTTCTTTAAAGTTTATATTCCTATATATTTATATTTATTTCATTTATTTCTCTAAAGTTTATATTTATTTTATTTATGTTTATTTGTTTATTTTTAATTGATGCTTAGATGGCAAAGTAAGCATTTATTCATGTGCTGACATTTACCAATTATTTCAGTTTTCTTTATTTTGGTTTTTAAAACTAAATATTGCTAATTTTTCTTCTGATCATGATTTACAATTTTTACTGTTATAACTGTATGGGGCTGCTCTTTTTTTATAATTTCCCATTTGATTTTAGTGGGATATTGTTTTCTTTTTTGGCTCTATATGTATTTTCATAGGGTTGTATTGTTAAGCATTTTTTCTTTTGAATGACATTTTGTGGTTATAATATTTTTCTTTAATTTTTTTTCTGTGGCACCTATGTAAATTTTTTTTCATCTGTGTTAATGTTATTAGTTACAATAGCTTTGTATATTATGTTATGAGTTAAACAGTGAACAATTTTCCTTGTTTCTGCAGTTACATTTAATGGTTTTATTTTACTGCTTGTTATTGTTGAGTATTTTTGTGTTTAGTTATTTTCTCCATGTTATCCATGCAGCAGTAACTAATTTTGATTGTATTTTTGTTGATAATTTGCTGTTTTTAGGGAAGTGTTTGTCAATTATTTTGAAAAATATTTTCCCTATTTTTATTTTTATTATATTGTTGTAGGGGGTGTTGAACTAAATTATATTTCTGTTTTTGTTTGGACTGTTTTCGTTTTTGTATTCTAGTTTGAATATCCACTGTTTCTTAGGGCTGATTGATATATTTTTCTATTTTCATTGAATATTTTTAGCCTATGAGAATTTGTTGAAATTCTTTTATTTATAGACATGGGCATTTGCTTGAATTCATTAGCAAGTGGTTAGGCTTTTTTATATTAGCAGGTTGCTTGATTTTCTGTATGGTTTGTAGGTTCTATTGTTTAAGGTTAATGTAATATTTAAGAAATTTACTATTTTTGGTTGGATTTTATATCTATTGTAAATCCTAGGGTTTTGAAGTTTTTCATTATTTCTTGCCTTATTTTTCTGTACTTCTGCCATTGCAGCTTCTTAGAATTAATAAACCATTGTCCCTGTATAGATTTATGTATTTTTGTTAATAATATTTGTTAATTTATTGATTATGTATATGCCTATGAGTTTGCATAGTACTGCACTATCATTGTTACATTGAAGTTATCATCATTATTGTTATTATTATGGCCTTTTTTGTCCATATTTTTTTTTTTATTGTGGTATAATATTGATTTTCAGCAGTGTTTAATTATATTTATATCCTCATTGGGGATAATCATATATTGTTTTTCTAAGTTAAATGTATTGTTTATTGTATGCTCATTAATAGATGGGTAGACATCTTTTATGTTTAATTGCATGAAGGAGCAATTTTCTTTATTACTAATGTCATTAAACCAATTGATTGTTGCTTTAGTATCTTTCCATTGGTTTATGTTTAGTATTAGTTTTGAGCATATTTTTTCTAATATTTGTTTGCTTATTTCCTCAATATTGCTTTTTTTGAGGGTTTAGTAATCTGCATGATGGTTTCATCATAAAATTGTCCTTATAGTCTTTTCATTTAATAAATGGTTCTGCTTTTGCCAATTATTTTATTGTCTAATTTTAGTTTGGTGGCAATGTTTTTAGCTTCTTTGTTTATATCACTTGCTGTTTTTTATTAGTAGTTTTTTAAAATTTAGTGACTTCTTTGTCAACTAGTTTATTGTAATTTTGATCTTTTTCAAGAAATTATTGTTGAATTTCCTTATTTTCAAAAGCAATAAGATCATTTTCTTGTGATTGGCATTTCAGTGATGTAAATCCAAATTTGTTAATATTATTGGTGTCATTGTGGTTGTCATCATTATCATTGTTTTTGTTGAGGAAATAGAATATCTTATGCATTGTATAAAGTGTTTTGTTTTTTTTCTGCAAGTTTAATGTTTGATAGGAATGTTTTGTTTTTTTTTGTCTATATTTTTTTATTGTGCCATTTTAAACTTTTCTTTACCAACACTTTTCATCCTCTGATGGACTTTACCAAGTTTAATGTAAGGATTTTATTTTGCAACTTATAAATGGAACTTGAAATATTGTTATGTTTTCAAAATTTGTCAATTTAAGAGCACTGAAAAATATTCATGGGGTTAACTGTAAAAGATAAACTATGTAGAATGTTAAGAGACGTAATTTCATGTCTAATAAATGAAAGAGTAAATACTGTTGTTGAATTTATCTTGTTTTTATATATTTATTTACTTTTTTATATTAATGCAATTATCATCTTAAAGGGAAGTTTTTCTTTTGACTTCAGTCATACTGTCTTTTTATATATATATATATATATATATAAATTGTGTGTGTGCGTGTAATGAGAACTTTTTATACTGACACATTTTGTTCCTGCAAACATAGAAATTTTATTTAGTAACCTGTATTTATACACATAAGTAATGTGGAGTAAAAAAAAACATTTGTTTTTAAATTTTGAATTAGAGAATGTTTTATAATATTTTAAAAACTTACTGCGTAAGGAAAAGTGAACTATGGAGGATGCTAAGTGACGTAATTTTTCAGCCTTTTACATGAAAGTGAATTAATGTTTTATATATATATATATATATATATATAGGTGTGCAATTTATTTATTTATTTTTATTTTATTTTTTTTAATTAATTTTTTTGAGTTATTACAGATAATGAGTCAACTGTTTTATTTTCATTTTTTTTAAATCTTTTTTTTTTTTTTAAATTTTTTTTTTTTTTAAATCTTTTTTTTGTTTGTTGGCTTAAAGAATTTCTTTTAAGACGTTTGAAAAAAATTCAAGGCGTCTTAATATTTTGGCAAGGAATGAAACACATTGGCATAAACCATTTTACTGCTGTCTTTTCTTTTATATATTGTCTTTTACAGATATTTTATTTATATCTCAGTTTTACACACATGCACACACACACACACACACATAGTGTGCTTTACTGTTCAGCCATGAAGAAAGTCACTACAGGCAAGGTACTACAGATGGGAACTTGATTGCTTTCTTTTTTTTTATGCTTTGTCTTATCAGCCCTTTTTGAATTATTTAAAGCCAAAACATATTTTGCTTTGTAGGATATTGTTTACCATAACCAAATACTGATTGGGTTCAATGCAGATTAACTCTGGTGATCAAATAAGAACCAGTATTTTCAGTGTTCTTTCACCATATTTGATATAGACTGACATTTTCTATTTTTCAGATGATGATGAATGCAAATGTCAAAGTATTGTTCCCATCATGCAGACTCCAGCTTCTCCAGGCAAAGGGGATGGCCCTAGGGTGCAGAACAAATGCCTCATGACTTGGGGATTCACTTCTACAACGTTCACAGCAGAAACATTGGACAGCAATGCATTTTGGTCAGTGACTATTGAGCGCAATTCTGCCCAGATTGGTGACCTCAAGTCTGGTTATGTGTTTGGTGCTGGGATTGCCTCAGAACGTCTCAACTACAAAGACCAGGTTGGCATCCATAAAAAATCAGTCGGTATCATCTGCAACAATGGCAGCATCCAGTTCTGTCAGAACGGGGTCTGTGAACTCCTTATGATGCTGGAAGGGTTGCCCCTTTCGGTCACTCTCTTTGTTCGACTTGACTGTGAGAATTCAATAATTCTCGGATACACATTGACTAACACAAGTTGGGGAGACACTCTCACAGGAAAGAAAATAATCACAGACAAAGCAGCAATAAAAAATGTTTATCCAGTTTTTACAGTTAGCCAGAAAGTTAAAATGCAATTTCCAACTTATGTGTAATGGCTGTGAGCCCCCTTCAGATCTTTCTCCATGACTCTACCTGTTGGGTTTGGAGAACTTTTTTCTTCCCAACCCCATTGTCTTGGTAGGTTTCCATTCTAGAGATTAAAAATATTTCTTATCAATTCAAAAAAAAAAAAAAAAAAAGGAAAAATTGTATATAATAATGCTTATTTATTAAAAGATATACAAGAGGCTGTGGACTAAAGAAATCCTCCTTATAATTGGTGACTATTTCTATCAGAATTTTCAAGGGACCAATAAGAAACAGGAAAAATCTGAAAAGTAAATTTGACATTTTCATTGGTTAAAAGCAAAACATGTTCAAGTGTATTTTTAAATTTTTTAAACATTTTAATGCATTAATTTAAATTAAATTTTAACTTAAAAATAAAAAAGGAAACTTTTCAATTTATTAGTTACATATCAACGCATCTGTTTATAGTTTTGCTTTAAAATGCTTATTTCATAGGTACTTTTTTTTTTTTTAAAAGAAAAAAGATTCTTGAACTTTTCTAAAAAGCTGTATTTTGCAGAGTTCATATTTTCTTAAGTTTTCAGCTTTAAAACTATCCACTTTATGAAGAATATCTTTTCTCTAAATACTTCCTTTGCTAAATGCATTTTTTTAAAAATCTACTTTCATCTGAATTTGCCTTTAGTCTCAAAACTGATTTTAGGATTTAATTTATCCAGTTTTCATTTTTTTTAAGATTTCCAATCAGTGTTTTTTTTTTTTTTTTAAACTTTGTTTTCAAAATAAATTCTGACCATTTTTTTTATTTAGATCCATTAAATCTACATCTGTCAAAATATATTCGACATTTTAAGCCAACTTTTCTGACCAAACTCAGAAACTGGAAGGTTATTGACCAACACTTGTTCTTTAGATGGACAACTAATAATTATTCTTCTCATTAAAGTTTCCTTTCATAATTATTTTAAAGAAGTTAAGTGTATTCTATATTTCTAGTTTCAAAAGTGTTCTTTTAGTAATTTCCCTGTGGTAAACTGGTCAGATAGAAAATATTAAAAAAAAAAATATTTTAGTCTTCAGTTGATACTTTTTAAAAAAAAAGAAAAAAGTTGCCTCCTGATTCATTTGGAATATTTTTTTTTAAATTCAATTGCTACAGGTAATCATTGAATGCATTGAATCATTTTTTTCTGGGTACATAAAATTATATTATTAAAAACAAATACAATTACCATAAAGAAAAAAAAAGAAAAAAACTAACCAGTTATCATTTCTCATTCTTCAGAATTGAATTAAAGAGAATACTTGTCTTATAATAATTTTTGTTTATTTTGCCTTAATGCTCTGAATCTCTTAATTTTTTATGTCATTTTCTATAACATGTTCATGTGTTTTGGATATTTTCCAAACATCTTATTTTGAGGGAAATTTCACTCTTTCTTTCCTGGTGGCTTTGAAAAAAAAAATTAATTTTGCCCCTCACCTTACATTTTTTGGTTTTTGGCATTATTGAGCGATTGTGATTTTAGTGGCAATAATTTTATTAATTCACTGCCCCCCACCAATAAATTTAATTGAATAATTAAAAATAAGAAAATCTACTTCCTATTTTGTGCTGTTGTATAAGTAACAGTGGGATTTTTCTGGCATATCAATTTCATTATGGGTTATCAAGTGTAAATCATATTTTTTTTTCATCATCACCAAGTAGACCCTGATTTTTAACCTATTATAATGAATGGATGTTCTCTCAGGGAGGCCCTGTGCCATGAGTGCCTATTGGGACTTAAACTCAACCTAGACCTGAAGTGGAACTTGTCTATGCAATCCGTCACTAGAAATGATGGAAAAATGGTTGCTTCCTTGTATCACTGCAGTAAGTATCTTATTCCTCTTGCTATCCTCTACCTTTACAAGAGCCAAATCAGAGGCCGAAAATAGAGTACTGCAACTCCCTTTCCAGCCTTGGTAGTTCAAAAGTGTCTCTGTGTCCTTGTGGATGTAGAGTTATTTTCCTTTCTACAATTCCTTTCCCACAGATGAAATGTATGCCTCTCGCTGATCTATTACTATTTCTATGGAAAGTGTTCAGATGAACTACATTCCTTAGTTCCACTAGTCCTAACCTTTGTGACTAAGACCAACCATACCACACACATTGTAGCAAACCATTCTCATTCCCTTTGTATTCCGTTAGTGAGATATAAGTTTCACTTGAGCAGCATCTTTCCACAAATCACTGCTTTGTGGAACTGACTTCCAAGAGGATGCTTTCCCAATGACTACAATCTTAACTGTTTCATGTCTCGTGTCAAGAGTTATTTTCCCCGCATATTCCCATAAACTGTGCCTCTTACTCTGTGAATATGATTTTAAAAAATAAAAATCAACTCTCATTTCTCTAAATCTTTTTCTTGAAAAGATTCTTAGAATCCTTTTCAGTTGTGTCTGCTTTATTTTGTTTGTTTTTATTGGTTGGTGTTTTTTTTATTTAAAGCGGAGAGAAAAAACTTAAAAGATGAAATAAATTTCCATTTGTTAGAGAAAGAAAAAAAAAAAAAAACACTTTTGGGATTTAGATGCACAGCCACTTCACCAAAAGAAAAATATCAGACTCCTTTTAGTTTGAACAAGTTGTCTGTGTTTATAAAGATAAAAATTCAGCTTAGAAGGAAATGAAAATTTATAAATAAATATATAAATATTTAAAATTTGTATTCATCTGAAGATTGTGAAAGCATGAAACTTTAGTAACGAACTGAGCCTTTTTTTTGTTAAGACAAGTTTTGTCTACTTATTTTCAACAGGATCCTCTCATATTCACTGACAAGCTTCTTAGTATCCTTATTACAGGAAGAAAATTAATGTCATCATTTCTAAGACAAAACATTGTGCTAATGTTGAAAGTACTCAGAATAAATGAATATGTATCAATATGATAATTTTCTCTCTTGAGAAGCTTGTCCGTGAACGAGAGGATCTTATTGAAAATAAGTAGACAAAACTTGTCTAAATTATTCAACGAGACATATCTTAATGAAAACTCATATATATATATATATATATATATATATATATATATATATATATATATATATATATATATATATATATATATATAGAGAGAGAGTGATGAAGAAATATAGTTTTAGGGTATGCTATATTTATAGGATAAAGTGCTCAATATCAGAAAGTGTATATAAATATAAAAGTGAACGTTGAAGGCCTGATGATTGCGTTTAGCATGAAACAGTCTGTTGCCTCTGAGTGCTGACTTCAATGTTCACTTATATATTCAAAGATTTTTGAGATCATCTCAGAAGGAAATAATTGAGAAATAAAATTATCTATTTGTTTTGAATTTGTCATGTCTCCCATGTTCATTTTATATTTTGATGGAATTCTAACTTGTTTTGAAAGATTTTTGGAATTCTGTGTTACTTTGATCAAAAAAAGAGATAAACAAAATAGTTTGCTTCATTTGAGAAAATTATTTTTTTAAAATTGAAATTATTTATTTTTCTCGAATCCCATTTGCATAGAAGTGAGTCTTAGCAGAACCATTTTATGAAGAGAGCAACTAATTGCACCTTTGTCTCACATTTTCTATTGACATGAAGTAGAGCAATTATATTGAATCGGTTGTTAGTTCTGTTGCCAAGAAGGTTGGTACAGTGTCATGCCAGACAATTTTTCTCATTGGAATTGATCTTTCACATATATAATTCTGCCATTCACCCTTGCATTGAATATTGCTGCCATATGTGGCCTGGTCCTCTGGCTATATATATATATATATATATATCTTGAGATTCAGGACAAATTCCAAAGAAGTGTCTGTAATGTTATCGACTCTGTCCTGGCATCTTGACTTCAATCACTTTCCCCACTACTGTGATATAGCTTTCCTCTGTCTTTTCTATAAATATTTTCATGGCAGTTGCTCAGATGAGCTCTCCTCTTCCGTACCTTCATTACATGACTTTAAGCATGTTACTAGATTGACTTAGGTCTCATTATTTTACTGTTGAACTAGCTAGATGTAACCATATCTCTTATTCTAATAAATTCTTTGCTTGCACTTCTCACTTCTGGTATTTTCTTCCTGTTTCTTTTTCTTGCCATGTACAATCTTCAAAAATTTAAAAGCAACATCAATCACAGTCTTATGTCTAGCTGAATCCTGTTCTTTTATTGTCCTTTCTCCTCACAATAGTCTTTTCATTCTGTTCCACACCCAGTAACCCCTTGTGTCTTAGTGGCATTATCACTAAATGTGAAATGATTTAAAAAAAAAAAAATGGCTTTAAAAAAAAAAAAAAATGGCTTTAAAAAATGGGATTAATTCTTGTAAGGCAGCATAAACATATTACAAACAGTAAATTTGTTTGGTTTGAATTCCAGTCGAGTTCATTGAATTACTTATGTACTAATAGTCTTGGAAAAGGTATGACTCCATCTCTTCTTCCTCCCCAGCTATGGTTAAATAGATTTAGGTGACAAAATGTCAAGGAGAAAGGAAAACTCTGAATTCAAAGCTATGTATCCCTGGCAAAGCACATACTATGCAGCTAAGGAAAAGATTGTTTGCATTGACGCAATGATTCTGACTATGGCTGACTCCCTTTTACTTTTTTATTTCACTATTTGCAGGTGAAAAAGAGCATCTTTTGTTTACTAATGCCCATATAGATGTTGATATACTAACAAAGTATATTAATTCTGAGTGTGTGATACAAACTGAGGTGAATTTGAAGATATTGTTATAGTGGAACACTATTATTCTATAGTTAATAGACTCACCCACCCATAATAAGTAGGAGTAGTAAGAGTTACGTTGCAGTCGCTCAGTGGTTCGGTCTGAGTTCAGTCTGAATTTTATACGGGTTTTAAAAGGGCATATTTTTGGCCGAGCCCACGGGCTCAGAGATCCCACATTAAACCGGCCTTGTGCCACATGATGCCCACGTGGTGGGGGGGGTGACTAAATACCGTCACTCAGTGGTTCGGTCAGTCAGTCGATGCCGGACGACCGTTAGTCGGATACTAAAGTATCA